TCGATCACAAGATAGTCGGAGTTAGCTTTGATAACGTGTCGGCAACGCAACTTCTCAAGTTTCATTTTCTCAAAATTTTGATCCAGGAAGCAAGCAACCGAGATTGAGTCATAATCTCTTCTTTAAAGAGAATCAAGATCCAGTTTAAGGTCAACACAAGAGAGCAAGTCAAGAATCAATATTTGACTCCAGAAGACACGTAGATAGGAACTTTTGTACTCTTAGTTTGCAGACATATGTAGTGCTCTTCTCTTTTTCTTTTGATGTAAGAAGCAGTAATAGTAAGAGTAACAGCAACAACAGCAAGCAACAACAGTCTTAACTCCAGTGTCTGGTAGTCCCAGCTACCAAATTTTTCTAGAACTACACTGACTTGATTCCTTTATAGCCAAGGATATGTAGGAAACCTCAGAAGCAAGGTTCGGTCACTATTTTTCAAAATTTACTTCCCTTGGATTGATATGTGAGCAAAAATTAGCTATGGCATTCATTTGTCTTTGCACGAAAACTCTTCATGTTCTCGAGCAAAGAGGGGCAGCTGTAAATGCCTAATTATTGCCTTGTTTATATATATATATATATATATATATATGTGTGTGTGTGTGTGTGTGTGTGTGTGTGTGTTTTTCTTATTTTTTGTATGTATAAGTNACAAGAGGGCAGCTGTAATGCTAATTTTTGCCCCATCTTTTTCTTCTATATATTATATATATATATATACATATGTGTGTGTGTGTGTGTATGAGTGTGTGTGTTTTTCTTATTTTTGTATGTATAAGTTTATGAGTTGATTAATGGTTTGATAAATTGGGTAGGGATTGGACTAGTGTATTTTAATTAAAATTGAGCCAAAATTGGCCCAAAATTTGAGCCCATTTCGTCCAAATCGGGTCCACAAGGGGCTGCCAAGGGGGAGGGTCCAAACGACATAGTTTTGGATCAAAACTACGTCGTTTCATTTAGTAATCTGAAGATTGGATCTCCTCCATTCAATTTCGCTTGATCCAACGGCCCTGATTAATCTCCCACTCGGGTATTTAAACCCTTAATTCCCCAAAATTTGACCCCATTTTCCCCTTAATTCTCCTCTTCTTCCTCTCTCTTCTCACCCTCTCTCACTCTCTGACCTAAGCTGCCCGCGCCGCCCAGTGCCGCCCGCCGGAATTCGCCACCGGCGGCGGCCAAGCTCCAAACGCCACCAAAATTTCACCCCCTCTTCGTCTTTTCCTCCTCTTCCCATATCCAAACCCCAAATCCCTCGAATCCTTCTCAAACGCCACAAATCTTCAAAAGAACGAAACCCTAGCCGCCTATTTTTCGTCAGATTTGTCAAGTTTGAGACCTCACCACCACCTAATACCTACATGAGTATGTAGGTCTTCCCCTAATCTACCTTTCTTTCTTGGTTCGAAGCCGAAACTCCGGTGGCTCTATTCCGGCGGGTTGCTGGCCATTGCTGCTTTGGCTCGAACAAGTTTTTCTTGTTGCTGAGTTCGTTATTCAACTTCGGTTTGATTGGAGTTTATAGTGACGAACCAGCAACAAGAAGAGCATGTCCGACGTCAAAACTTCATCTACCTCTGCCCGAATCACCACCGCTGCCGCACCACCACTGTCTCGGACACTCGATTTTCTGGTACACCCTAATCCCTTGTGTCCCCTTTTTTTTTCTTTTACTTTCTGTTTCATTGTAGTTTGCTTAGGTCTAAAATTTCTGATTTGTTTTCTTCTTTGTTTGATCATGTGTTTTATTTATCTTTAGTTAGCTATTAGTTAGTTTAGAGTCAGTAATGATTAGTCGTCGCTCGTTGATCTCAAATTATTTTGTTGTTCGGATTCCTATCTCATAAATTCTGCTAATGGTGTTTGAAGTTAGTTGTATTTTCAAGTTTTAAATTATAGCTTCAATTGCAGTCTCTTTGAATATTGTATGTATCGTACATGAATCAACTAAGCAAATATTTTTACAATTGAATTTTGATCCAAGTTTGCTTTGTGGAATATCCATATTTGCTTCCCATGGGTTGACATACAAAAAGAAATATACGAATAAACATTAGTATTTTTAGAGATAAAGAAAAAGAGACATTTGAGTAAACATTGAGTATTAGACGCATACAATGTTATATTGGCAGCAGCGGAGACGAGATTCACAATTATTAAATACAATATTATAATGGTATCTCCTGACTTATCTTAATTGATTTGTGGTATAAAATAATTTTGATTATACGCCAGATTCTCTTGAAATTTGCCCTAATTATCATCACCTTTTGGTTGATTAAGAAAAAAATGAAAATAAGAGATATGGTTTACAGCACATCTGAAAGTTAACTAAGATGATTTGGTTGTCAATTTCAACAAACCAAAGCATGAAAGCCGTTCATATTTAGTTATTTCAAAACCAGTAATTAAATATTCTTTTCACACCACAGCATTATTTTAATAAAGAATATATTATCCTTGAATATTAAGCAAACTGAAACATTGTTTAAAACAAATACTAGAATTATATTTAATCGAATGAACTAACACTAATTCATAAAGTAATACTAATTGATACTAATGAGTACTACTCATGTAAAGAACTGTGATTACATGATGTTTATTAGCTACTACGAATATGTAAAATAAAAATCAAACTACTCAATCATCTTTAACCAGGGATCCATCACCGATCAAGTGGTCTATTTTTCCATCAGGGCGCTCAAAGAAGTGTGCCACATCCAAGTGGGTGATGTCAAAATCATTGTCAGAGACAAAATTGGCTTCAGGGCCTTTATTCTTTAGAGATGCTTGATAAAACTCAACCAAATGTCTTGGTACACGACAAATATTTGCCCAATGCCCTTTTCCACCGCAACGATAGCATTCAGTTTCTGAACCATTTGCTTTTGGCTTCTCATCTTTCCCTTTCCACTTTTGGTGGTTATTTCTCGTTGGGGGATGATTAACACCAGGAAAATTTCTTCCTTGTCTACGGCCACGACCACGGTTACGACCATGATCACGATCACGACTACGAATAGAGTCACGGCCTTTTCCACGCTTAGCATAATGAGAATACACCTCATCCACTTCAGGCAATGGTGTAGACCCAGTGGGTCGATTTTCGTGATTTCTCATGAGCAAGTTATTGTTTCGCTCAGCCACAAGAAGAAGAGAAATCAGCTCAGAGTACTTCTTGAAACCTTTCTCTCTGTACTGCTGTTGCAGAACCATATTGGAGGCATGAAACGTTGTAAACGTTTTTTCAAGCATATCATAATCACTGATAGTATCTCCACAGAGTTTCAATTTAGAAGTAATTCTGAACATCGCAGAATTATATTCAGAAACAGACTTAAAGTCTTGGATCCTCAGATGAGCCCAATCATATCGTTCTTGTGGAAGAGTGACCAACTTTAAGTTGTCATATCTTTCTTTTAAGCCATTCCACAAAATAAGTGGATCTTTGACTGTGAGATATTCAATTTTCAACCCTTCATCAAGGTGATGGCGCAAGAAAATCAAGGCCTTAGCACAGTCTTGGGTGGATGCTTTATTTTTGTCTTTAATGGCGTCTCCAAGACCCATTGCATCTAAGTGGATTTCAGCATCCAACACCCATCACTACAAGAAAAAGCCTTATCTGCGACCAACATTTAGGGACGAGTTAATAATCTCGTCCCTAAAAGTATATGTATTGGAACGAAATTATATTGTGGTCCTTAATGCTGTATTTTACTGGGAAGGTATTAAATCTGGTCCCTAAAAAAATTAGTAACTGATCCCAAATTATATTTGAGGGGCCATCAGCGTGAGAGAATACCGCCAAAAATAATACTAAAATCTTAAAAATTTATTCTTTTCTAAAGAATAGGCGCTAAAACTAATATACTAAAATTAAAAAATTTTATAATTAAAGAAACTCTTTGTTTTCCCAGAACATATCTCCTCTGCCCTAGTCTCTAATCAACACAACGCAGGTGCTACCTCCTTCTATCCATCTCTCAAAATCTGTGTTTTCTCAAAGCGAAGGTTGCAAATTTGTTAGTTCGTGATCGTGAATCGCAGGTCTACCCTAGGTTTCAACCTCGCTCATTTGCGAAACCCAGGTATGCCTCCTCTTCTGAGTTCCTCTTTTTCATCTCTAAGTTCTTCTTCTCCTTCTTCTCTAACATTAGATTGGTAAAACGTTTCATAATTTCGTTTCTCTTTTGTATAATCAATTAAAAGATTATTGGGTTTGGATTCTTAATTTGATAATTTGATTTCTATGAAGTATACTCATGTTTGTAGCGTATTGTGTATCTGAAGAATTAATCTTCAAACAGAGTAAAGGTATCTTCATATTTGTTCATGTTTGTAGTTCGGGGGAAGGTATATGGCAAGGAGTTGCAAGAAAATGCAAAAAGAGATTAGCCTAATTTATTTCACAGGGGAAGATTAATGCTCGGTGGGTTAGGGGATGGTAGGGTCACACGGAGAATATTGAGACAGCTATCTACAGCTCGTAGAGGTTGAGTCTTGACGGCATTACTGGTATGTAGCAGTAGGTTAATGTAGAGGAATCAAAGACCACGAGCCCTTGGAAAAAGCTTCTTATATATTACACTTACTACTTTAATTTCTATTGTTTTCTTTTGCTATGGTTATGGTTAGGAATTAAGAAGGAAATTTGACAGGAGTCAACCCAATTGGTTTATATTCACGCCCAATCCATCATATGACCTTGCTATATTCACTCTAGAAATTGAGATAGAAATCCTGGCCTTCATGTCTAATGTAGTCAACCTCACCCTTGTTTTCAATTGGCGAGTCTTTGTCTTGTGACTTTTACTTCTTCTGGTTGCTCTTCAAGCATTCGAGCGCGGATCCAGGAGTTTAACATTATGGATTCTGGATGTTAAAACACGATTTCATGTGTTAGTGATTGGGTAGCAAATTTAATATTTCGAACTGTAACAGATCTTTCATATATGTACACACATTCACGATAAAATGTCTATAGATTAATATCTTGTGTCCAAAAGAAATGCTTGATTTTTAATTATTTTTTACTTTTCGCTCTTGGCAGGTTCAATATGAAACCATTAAAGACTAAAAATGAGGTGGGATCATCTATGAAGACTGTCGCCAAATATGCATTCATCCCGCCAGGTGCTATACGAAAGGGAAAAGGACGGGGACGAGGACTTAGATCTTTGGTTGAGAAAGAGAATATGCCAACTAACAGTTTATTTCCTCAATCTAGTGATCTAGTTAAGAAATACATCCAAACAATTGAATCAAGTGAGATTTTTTAAATGTAGTATTTTTAATTTGCATAACTGGATTTAAATGCCTAAGTGTTAGTAATCTGATTTCTTTTCGCCAGGTGCTATAGGGAAGGGACGAGGACAAGGGCTTAAAAATTCTACCATGTCTGCTGGTCAAGGAATGATATTAAGCAATCAGATTTTATATAGCTTTTCCTAATTTATATAAAAATTATATTAAGCATCAGTACCACAGATTCCTTCTTATGGTTTTGGATTTCATTTTTCATATAGCTTTGTGAATACTTCAGCAGCTATCTTAAACTTGTAAACTCCTTTCCCTAATTTTATAAAAATCCTATTGTCTTCCATACACATTATTGTCCCAGCCCTATGCTACGGTGCTAGAGCTGACACTTGTAGCAAACTACTTACGTTTGGCTAATGGTTTTTTCTGTTTGTGTTTGGTAATTGCACAGGCTGCTTGAGCATAACTAGCTTACTGGAAAAATACCCCCTGCATTAGGACTTGTGAAAACTCTGGAGGTGGTGTAAGTATTTCCAGAATCGTGCCATCTTTCTTACTTTTGATTACCTGGGAAAAATTTATTAACTGGATATCCATGTACGCTGTAGTCGTCTTGACAGGAATTCATTAGATGGATCGATTCCATCAACCCTCAATAATCTCACGCGTACGAGTGAACTGTGAGTAGACAAAAGACATGCTAATATAACCTTGGTATGATCTCTTTTTTTATGAGTGTATCAGACCCCCTATAAATTTTTCATATCACTTGCAGCTTCTTATCAAACAATGAATTCACTGGCCCCTTGCCTGATCTTGCTGGCATGAATGCCCTCAACTACTTGTAAGTTCCTTGACTTACAATGCCTTGGGAGTACTTATGTTCTGATTGAAACTCTACTCTGCTAAGAGAATACATCCATCTTCATGTTGTCATGTTACAGATTATGTCTTTTGATTACTTTAGTTTTCATTAGTGTCCTATGATCATGTTTTGCAGAGATATGAGCAATAATACATTTAGCTCAGCTGATTTTCCACTGTGGTTTTCAACCTTGCAGTCATTGACGACTCTGTACACTTCTCTCTCCCTCTCTCTCTGCATGCATGTGTGTATCTATCTCTGAGTGCACATGGCCCTGCGGAACTCAGATCCATCTGAGCGTCTGTTTTATCCTAATGGAGTTGGTTCATAGAATTTGTTATGCACCTCATAAATTAAACTGCTCACAGGGTAATGGAAAACACTCAACTTCAAGGAGAAATTCCGGCAACCCTCTTCAATCTTTTTCAGTTGCAGACAGTGTGAGTGTCCTTTTACCTTTAATCCATGGTGCATGTCTTGCAACTATTCTCTTTTCGCGCTATGTGATAGTAATGTAACAAAGTTTTTAAGGAACATGAAGTAATCTAGTATATGATTCTGTATTTTGCATTTCAATTTTATGACCATGAGGTGGTTCCTTATGAAAGCATCTTGAGGGGAAACAAAATCAATGGAACCTTGGATATTGCGTCCAACTATGGAAGCCAATTAAAATTGATTGATTTGCAGAACAATTACATCGATTCATTTACAGAAAGACCAGGATATCGTTTTCAAATAATGTAAGCCGTCCTCAAGCAACTTTTTCTTCACTTAAGGTAATATTATATCGAATAAGGCGTATATATATATATATATATATAAAATATATAGTTACGATGTACTATGCACTAAGTATAAGTGTATTAGGTAATATTCTATCGAATATGACGTATATATATATAATATATATACTTACGCTGTACTATGCACTAAGTATAAGTGTATTAGGTAATATTATATCGAATATATATGGACATATGAATCTTGTTTGATTGGCGCTGAGGAGGTGGTGGGACCTTTTAAAGTTAACATGAGCATAAGGTGTTTGGATATCCCATTTCAGTCTCTCATACTTTAGTTTGCGTGACTGCATAACACTGTTCTAGAATACTTAAGTAACCATAAAAAGAGATTTTCTAACTATTAGTTTTACAAGTAACCAATATACTTATTATTTTAACATTCCCTTGACTTGCAGGATTTTATACGGGAAGTTGACCCTGATATCATAATTGGATATAACATCTGCAACTTTGATTTGCCATATCTCATCCGGGTAATGAGCTTCTTATGTTTTTCCATATATGGCTCCAAAACAATGATATAAGAGCTAAAGTAAATTTAGATGTGCTGAGCAAGCTTAACAGTTGCCTACTTAATGTAGTTGTTAAAAGGACGGATTTCTTAATTATTGATTGGATTAAGCAATGAGGAGTAAAAAAGTCCATAGGCAGAAGTAAAGGAACCCTTACATGATAACTTGTGGTTACTGTGAAGCTGATGGTAGAACTGAAGTGGAAAAACTTGTTTCTTTCCAGCCAAAAGAGATTGGGAATGGCTAAGTCAAGTTTGATGTGTATTGTTTCTTTTATCTTCATTTCAGAGAGCTGAAGTCTTAGGGATGGCAGAATTTCCTGTGCTAGGACGCATCAGAAACAGCAGGGTTCGTATAAAAGATTCAACCTTTTCTTCAACTGAATGACTACTATTTTTGTATGCTGACCAAGTTAGTAACAATATACCCTACTTTTTAATTTTTTAGTTGATTTTTATATAGTCATTTCTATCTTATTGCTATCTCTGTTGCATTCACGCATTAATATTCCTTCAAATTAAACACTATGGCAGACGAGGCCCTGTCAGCTATATTAGAAGGCCCTTATGTTTTTATATTCAAGTTATAATTCAAGTGTTTGACGTTTCATCTTCATTCATCTTAGCTATAAGATTGCTATACTTTGCTCTTACTTGATCATACACTGATAACCCCGTGTTGCAGGTGGTAAAAAATGCATTAAAATATTTGTGTTTAATCTAATAAACCTTTCTGCTACTTTGATGTTGTTCAGACCACCTGTACTTTGACATCAGTTACTTTTCTTTGGGAAGTTCAGCAATCTGAAAAATAAACTTGTATTTCCATATTTTAATTCTGAAGAATTATCTCTTCTTTATATTATTCTGTTCCTTTATGGCTATGTATTGTAAGAAATATAATAAATACATTCTTTCCTATCTTATAGAGGACAAAAAAGAAGATATCCTTAATTTTCCATCACTCTAAAAATGATGTATACTTATTTGATCAACCAATTGGAACTGTAAATGGTGATAATAATTCATCACCTCTTGCTTATAAATTAGAATATCCTCTGTAAACTTGAATGAAGGAAATCTAACAACTCTTTTCTTATGGGTGGTATTTCATATTTGCCTTCTATCTTCATAAGTCTATATCCTTTTCCCTTTAAGCAATTACAGGGTTACTTGGATGTTATTTTGCTTTATAGTGAATTATTCGTCTTATTTGATTTCCCAGCTACCTTGTTGCTGCTGCTGGCTTGCAGAGCTTATGGAGTTAAAATATGTTAAAATATGTCCCACGGGCTAATCCTAAAGTTACTTCATTTGTTTCTTAGGATGACCATAATTTTGAAGGGAGCTTGGCTTACTCTCTTGAATGGTAAATTCCGAGTTATAGTAGCGGGATTTATCGAACCGAAGGCCGATTATATAAATTGTATTGTATCATTGTTGTTGGCAAGTTTGAGGTGTTGAATTGAGAATATGAGTTATCGGCAAAAACTCGTTCGAAAGAAGATTGAGGTTTGATTTTGCATTTAGATAACATGAATGTTTCTTTTGTTGCTTTTTCCTGCTCTGTTTTCTAACTTATGGAAACTCTTTGCTATGAATATGAAAATGGCTACTGTGAGGCAAGTTGTTATAGTGAGCTTAACTGCAAGCTTCAAACTTTCTTCGTTCTCCATTTAAAGATTCACTTTGATTCTCTGATTCTTCTTTCCCTTTTGCACATTACTTTTTACTGTGCAATTTTAAATCCAAGTCTCTAGAACTTTTCTAATTAATTTTCTTATATTCCAGTAGCCTTGTTGATATTACTGGATAATACCTGATGAATTTAGACTGCTTTTGGGGTAAGCGGTTTAACCATTGCTAGTGTAAATTTACGTATATTTGTTTTACCAATTGTCATTCATCGTCTTTTCAAAATTTTGTGCTTACAGGTTGTGAGAAAGCACGGGAGAAAATATATTATTGATGTATTGACATATGTTACAATGAGCCCTATATATATACACACATAACATGTCCTACTCCTAATATATATTGGATTAGGGTTATTTATTTACTCCTATTTACATGACTATTCTAACACTCCCCCTCAAGCTGGTGCATATAAATCATATGTACCGAGCTTGTTACATATGTAGTTAATACGAGGACCAGTGAGGGACTTGGTGAAAATATCTGCAAGCTGATCATTCGACTTCACAAACTTTGTAGCAATATCTCCCGAGAGTATCTTTTCTCTAACAAAGTGACAGTCAATCTCAATGTGTTTAGTTCTCTCATGGAACACTGGATTTGACGCAATATGAAGAGCAGCTTGATTATCACACACAAGTCCCATCTGACTAATCTCACCAAATTTCAACTCCTTGAGCAACTGTTTGATCCAAATTAGCTCACATGTCGCCATAGCCATCGCTCGATATTCTGCTTCTGCACTAGACCGAGCAACCACATTCTGTTTCTTGCTCTTCCAGGACACCAAATTTCCTCCTACCAAGACACAATATCCAGACGTAGAACGTCTATCAGAAGGTGATCTTGCCCAATCAGCATCTGAGTATCCAACGATCTGCTCATGGCCTCGACCCTCAAACATAAACCTTTGCCTGGAGCTGATTTTACATCCGAAAGATGCGAAACAACTGCATCCCAATGACTATCACACGGAGAATCCATAAACTGACTCACAACACTCACAGAAAAGGAAATGTCAGGTCTTGTCACTGTAAGGTAATTTAATTTACCAACCAACCGTCTATATCTTGCAGCATCGCTAAGAGGCTCCCCCTGTCCTGGCATAAGTTTAGAATTCGGATCCATCGGAGTGTCAACCGGTCTACAACCTGTCATTCCTGTCTCTTCAAGAATATCTAAGGCTACTTCGTGGAGATCACAACACCTGGAGCTAGACTGAGCGACCTCAATATCCAGAAAAATACTTTAGTTTGCCCAGATCCTTAGTCTGAAAGTGTTGCAAGAGATGTTGCTTCAATTTAGTAATACCATCTGGTCCATTGCCGGTAATAACAATGTCGTCAACCATAGACCACCAGATAAATACAGAGACTCGAGGCAGAATGCCGATAGAATACAGAATGATCAGCTTCACTCTGAATCATGCCAAATTATCGAATAACTGTGCTGAACTTACCAAACCATGCTCGAGGAGACTGCTTTAGACCATAAAGTGACCGACGCAAGCGACATACAAGGCCACGAGACTCCCCCTGAGCAACAAAACCCAGGTGGTTGCTCATATAAACTTCATCCTCAAGGTCACCGTGTAAAAAGACATTCTTAATGTCCAGCTGATAAAGGGGCCAATGGCGAACAACAGCCATGGTAGAAAAGGCGGACTGATGCTATTAGCCACAGGAGAGAAGGTATCACTGTAATCGAGCCAATATCTGAGTTATATCCATTGGCAACAAGACGAGCCTTAAGACGATCAACCTTACATCCGGACCAACTTGACTGCATACACCCAACGGACAACCAACAGTAGATTTACCTGAAGGAAGAGGGACGAGCTCCCAGTACCACTCGTATGTAAAGCAAGACATCTCGTCAATCATAGCCTGTCGCCATCCTGGATGAGACAATGCTTCACCTGTAAGACTAGGATGGAAACAGAGGACAAAAAGATAGAAAAAGCATAATAGGGTGATGACAAACGATGATAACTCAAACCGACATAATGGGGATTAGGATTAAGGGTGGGCCCGTATACCTTTCCGAAGTGCAATCGTTGATTAAGAGGAGACAAGTCCGCAGTATTAGCAGGGTCAGGTGCAGGACGTGAATCAGTTGGACCTGATGCTGGGTCGCGACGACGATGATATGTCAAAAGTGGTGTTCCTGTGGCAGGGAGTCTAGGGAGGAGGCACACTAGACTCCTCAACGGCTGGAATGGATAAAGACTTCTATAGCAGAAGGTGAAGGAGGAGCTATAGGAGAACTCGGGTAAGACTTCTGTGGCGGAAGGTGAAGGAGGAGGCTATAGTAGACTCCTTAAAGGTCGGTATAGGTAAGACCTCAGATATATCAAGGGGGTCAGAAAGGTCAGAAGAGTAAAGAAAGGTTTAGACTCAAAAAAATGTGACGTCAGAGGACATAAAGTACACGAAGATCAAGTGAGTAACAACGATAGCCTTCTGAACACGAGAATAACCAAGGAAGACACACTTGAGAGCACGAGGAGCTAACTTATTCTTTCCCAGGGGCAGGTTATGAACGAAACAAGTGCTCCCAAAAAACACGAGGGGGAACAGAGTATACGGGTGATGGGGAAACAATACTGCATACGGTATCTGATTCTGGATGGGAGAGGAAGGCATCCGATTAACTAAATAAACAAGCTGTTGAGAACTGCATCGCCCCAAAAACGCAGCGGAACATGAGATTCAATGAGAAGTGTGCGAGCAGTCTCAATGATGTGCCTATTCTTTCTCTCTTGCAACCCCATTTTGCTGAGGGGTATAATAGGACAAGAGGTCTGATGAATAATTCCTTGAAAAGTCATAAACTGCTGAATTGAGAGGATAAATATTCTAAGGCATTATCACTGCGAAAAGTGCGAATGGAAACACCAAATTGATTTTTAATTTCAGCACAAAAATTCTGGAATATAGAAAACAACTCAGAACGATCTTTCATTAAAGAAAATCCAAGTACATCTGAATGATCATCATAAAACTAACAAAATAACGAAATCCCAAGGTTGAACTGACTCTACTGGGACCCCATATATCAGAGTGAACTAAGAAAAAATAGACTCTACGTTGACTCTCAATACTACATGATAGGAGGCTCGGTATGTTTTCCGAGCTGACATGACTCACACTCTAATGTGGAATAAACTAGACAAACCAGGCACCACTCTTCTGAAGCTTGGATAAGCTTGGATGTCCTAAACGTCTGTGAATTAGGTCCGGGATCTGTAACTAGACATGCCTTGGAGGATTTTAGGGAGTTAAGGTAGTAAAGCCCTTTGATTCAAGTCCTGTTCCAAAATCGTCTGCCATGTTACTGCGGGTCCTGCATAATTAAAAGAATCATCAATAAAATATATACCACAATGGAGGGCACGAGTCTAACGACTAACAGATGCAAGATTAAAAAGGACAGTCAGGGACATAGAGAACGGAATCTAGAGTGACAGAGGGTAGGGGATTCGCTTGTCCAACTCCTTTTGCTTTGGTTTGGACCCATTGGCTAAAGTAACAGTAGAAGAGACTGTGAATACGCAATATTTGACAAAAGTGATTTATTACCGAGATATGATCAGAAGCGGCTGAGTCCACAACCCATTGTCCAGGAGGGACTAGACTGGGAAACACAAGCAAAAGAATTACCAGCAACAGAAGCATTAGTCTGAGCAACAGAAGCTACTTGTGAGATGTCTGCTTACTTGCTCGATACTGAAGGAACTCATTATTTAACTCCCCTTCAGATAAAGAAATCCCTGGTTACCTTGTAGTCTCAGTCTGAGCAACATAAGCATTTTTGGTTGGGCGGCCATGTAAAGAATAGCATACATCACAAGTGTGTCCAAGTTTATGACAATAGGAGCACTTGGGTCTAGATCTTCCAACAAGACCTCCTCCTCCTATTCTCCATAGTATGAGATGCCCGATTGTCCACTGATTGGGATACGAGGACAGATGAGTCAAGTGTCTGTGATGAGCTCACTGGGTGACTAGGTGCTGCAGCAAGGCGAAGTAATCGAGAGAATAATTCATCAACTGTGGGGACGGTTGGACTAGCCAAAATCTGGTCACGTACTGAATCAAGGTCATTAGGGAGTCCATCGAGTGTAAGAACTAGAAACATCTTCTGTCGTTGCTCTTGTTGTTTTTCAATACTAGCAGAAACTGGCATCAACGTCTCAAATTCTTCCATGACTGCCTGAACTTGTCCCAAGTAAGTAGACATATCTAATTCCTGTTTCTTCAAGCTTGTCATTTGCGATATTACATCATAGAAATGAGATATGTCATTAGTGTATAGATTACGAGCCTTTTCCCAAACTAAATAACATGTCTGGAATGGACGGAACAAGGGCATCAACTTGGAATCAATAGATCGCCACAGGATACTACATAACTGAGCATCGACCTTCTCCCACTGTGTTTTGGCCTTTTCATCACCTTCGCTAGCCTTTTTTGTTAAATGATCTTGAACTCCTTGACCTTTACACCACAACTCGACAGATGAAGCCCAATCTAAGTAGTTTGAACCTCCCATTAAAGGTTCTGAGGTAATCATAACACCGGAACTGCCAGAACCCGGGTTTCTAGACCCGAAAGCATCGACTCCCAAAGACATGGTTGGATTATCACCAAATAACAAAAAGAATCAACTGAAAATTCTCTGAAACAGATGAAGAAAACACTGTGTTTGCCGGAAAAGTACTGTAGCTGCCGGAAAAATCAGTGTAGTCGCCGGAAAAACTCAAAGTGGTCGGAATTAAAAAATAAAAATATGGACAGGCTCGGAATTGCAGGGCGATCCAACTGTCCTGAAGGAGCGAAGCCGAAATCTGACAGGAAGGGGTCTCACGCGCCGGCGCGTGGGACAGACGCGCCGCCGGAAACAGTGCTCCGACAGGCGCGTGACGGCACGTGGGTGACTGTTTTCCGGTAATTTTTTCTGGGGTTTGGTCGGATCTCTCTTGGGAACCTTGTGGTGGTGTTGGATTTTGCACAACACTGTTAATTAGTGACTTTGACGCAATAAGTCACTTAGGTCACCGGAAAATTGCACGGTGACTGAGTTCTTTCTTCCCGGATATCGCTGGAATGACGCACAACGATAAATTTCTCACCGTAGCTCTGATACCATGTAAGAAAGCACGGGAGAAAATATATTATTGATGTATTGACATATGTTACAATGAGCCCTATATATATACACACATAACATGTCCTACTCCTAATATATATTGGATTAGGGTTATTTATTTACTCCTATTTACATGACTATTCTAACACAGGTTTTGAAGATTGAAGCTACAAGTCAAGATTCATGTTTGGAAGATACACAAGCTCATTATTATTTTGTTAGGATGGTTATGTAAAACTTGACATCATAGTCAAGCTTAGGATGTTAGTAAGTTTTTTTGTTAAGGTGTTGAGCAAATATTGAAACTAACTTCATGGGATGTTAACATTGTAATTAATAACTTTATTTATATATTATATATATTTACCTTTTTAAATTTAGCTTTTTCAATAGCAATTTGATATTTATTTATAAAATAACACATACTACTTCTGGTTAATAAAAGATAAGAAATACGGTCGTTAAAATTACTATAATTATTTTAAATAGGGACCACTGTTACTTGTCTCAAAAGGATAAGTTACGACCAGTTAAATGATGGTCGCTAAAATTGTTTAACGACGGAAAAATATATATTTTTCATAATATATTTATCGATTATTAGGGAGGAGAAGAGTGGTCGCTAAAACCTTTTAACGACGGAAAAATATATATTTTTCATAATATTTTAAGCGCCTACTGGGACGAGATATGTAGTCTCTAAAAGTATTTAACGACTAGATTTTTTGTCCGTCTCTAAAAACATTTAGCGACCAGATTTCTGAACCCGTCGTTGTTGACCTTTAGCGGCGGAAGCTATTACGACGGGGTGCGACCAGCTTTTTCCTGTCGCAATTGGTGTATTAGGACCAGATTTAGATCTTTAGGGACCAGATTTCCCTTCCTTAAAAGCCGTTTTTCTTGTAGTGCGTGTCATATAGTTCTTGCCCGAAATTTCAAGGGCAATGAACTTTCTTTTCATAATGTCAGTCATAATTAAAAAGAGGAGAAAAATTACCTTAATCTTCTCAAAGAGCTTCTTGAGACGGTAGAGTCTCGTGCTGATAACGTGTTATGAAACAATAAAAGAACAAGAACAATATTGCAGAGAATTAGAGAGAGGAAATTCTTATTGAATTTTGGGATGAATTACAATGGAATAGAACCCTCTATTTATAGGGAGAGGTTGACTTAGCCACCAAGTAATAAACCCTAGAATCTCTCTAAATATGGACATTTACCGTAAATAGGATTCTATTTATAACACTAATGAATTAATGAGTCATCTTGACTCTTGACACAACAAAATAATATTCTTGGAATCAAGAAAAAGATAATGCAAGAAAAAACCTACGGCAAAAGTTAGAAAAAGAAAGTCACATAAACACGCACAATAACGAACGACAATTAAAGGGGAAATCAAATAGTATTTGGTTCAATCGATTTGGTAAAATCTTATTTGATATTGAAATTCAAATTTTTAGAACTTTTTACATAGTTTAAATAAGGAAACACTTAATAATTAAAATTCTAGTGTATTTCAAAGTCCTAAAAATTAGTAAAAAATAATTAAATGACAATTCTACCCATATAAAATCTGATTTTAAGGGGTAAAAAGGGCGAACGACATTTCGCTAAAGGCCTTCGTGCTTTTAATATAGTATGGATAGATAGATATATATAGATAGATTAAAAAGTAGAATCAGAGGATTCAGAGAGATTGTAACGCTCGAAATATTTGAAATCAAATACTACAATTGTTGCGATATTTTTCGGTCTCGATTTATTTTGTTGACACAATTTATTGTCTACAACTAGATTTAGGAAGCAGGGAGGAGATACCTTTTGTATTTTAATCACATTATCATAAAAAGGACGTCCAATATTTTTTGCTCTTCTTGAAGGTATGTAATACTAGTATTGTTTAGCGTTTTCTCACAAATCTCAATTAAGTTCACGGATACACAACGGGAAAGAAAGACAAATTTTGATCTTGAATCAACATAATGTTCCTAAACTTTTGTGTTATGGTAGTAACTTAGGGGTTGCAAAGAGACAATAAAAAATCGATAAAAAAAAGAATTATTTAGATTCAAAATTCCAAGGTGTATCATATTTTTCATGATTCACATTTATCATGACGATTGATAAATTGAAGCAAACTCAAAATTTTTACTATATATCCACATTAATGCATCTCTCAGAATGTATATAACAAGGTATTAACTGAATAGCTACTTGAACGCGTTGTATATTAACCACATCAGGATAATTTCTGAAATCGAGATTCAAATTGTCTATCGATGACGAGACATTTACAAAAAGGAAAGCTAGATTTTCCGATGATCGATCCAGCATGCACAACCCTAATACATGAGCATCACCTTCCAGCATGCATAACCCTATGCATGGGCATCACCTTCTGTTGCAGATCACTTGCACAAAGTAAATCACTTTCTCTACTGACCCTTCATTCAAGGCATGCATCTAAGAGGCAGCAACAACATATAGCAGCCAAACTACATAATAAATTAATAATCATTAGCCCATTTTTCGCTCATGAAAAACATCAAATTACAAGCTAATAAGAGAATGGTATTCGGGAAGGAAGGCAAATTAATTTGACGTGCTTCAATATTTTTCAGTACCATTGTACTTTAAAAACTAATTATACGTATGTCTGACTCAAGAATAAAGCCACTAAAGTTTTTGCTTTAGGCCCCCAAGAGTTAGAGGCGTCCGAAAATATTGCTATTGTTATTATTATTATTATTATTATTATTATTTGGAAATTGGTACACACGGATACTATAAGACAGAAATTACTGTATATGACAAGTAAATATTTCACAAATCCAAGATAGCCATTTTTGTCAATACACTACCTTGATTTTTATTGTTGAACTAACATATAGGAAGATTTAAGTAATTTAATTGAAATTCTAAAATATTAGAAATGAGATTTACTATATTCCTAATATCATAACCATGCAAGGAAATAATAAATTATGTTTTACTAATTGAAAAAGTTAGATAATTAACACAAGGAAATATGAAAGTTTTAAAATTAATTGTAATATTTTAACAAAGATTGTAGTTATCTTGTGGTAAATAATTATGCATTAAATAGAAAGGTTAAATAATGCATACAAGAAATCTAACATGCAATATTTATGAAGGATAAATAAGCCGATCGATATTCTGTATTAGAAAGGTTAAATTATGAGTACAAGAAGTCCAACGTGTAATACTTATGGAGGATAGAAAACTCGTTAGACATTTTGTGTTGGATTTTCGTGCTTTAGATAATAGTATAAATAATATATAATTTTTATGTAAAAGGTTTTAATTTAAAAAAATAAAATTGGTTGAGCTTGTTCAAATGATCGAACGAATAAATCAGCTTAGGTTTCAATCTCTCATTAATTAGTACATATACCTACCCTATCGGTTCTGATTTTTCCTTCTTTACCTATATTCTATCTTTTTTTCTTTTCTGTGTTTATTTTGATTTTATTTTTCAATTTTAACTCGATTATATATTCTGAATCAACTGTTTCTACTTCTCACCAAAAAAGTACTTGAAAGAATTAATTTTGTAATTTTGCATCTCAAAAATATTAGAAATGTGAACTTTAAATAAACATATGCATTACTTTAATTACAAAGTTTATGATATCTTATTAGACTTTGACTTTAAGCCACCGATATTATTGAGCAGCCTCTGATTATACATTTAGAATGTGATAATTATTGAAATTATAGATTAAGAATGTGATATTTTTGTTGAACTTGAGTGATACTTTTCACGTTTATATCTAAGCATCATATCAATAATGTGTGCTCAACTGAATTCGTAGAAACATATTGTTACATGCATGCAGTACGTACCATCCGCCCATGACACCAGTAGCTGCTTGGTTTTGTTTTTGTTTTTTAGGATGTCCATGTCCATGTAGGGGTGGGGGTGGTGCACCGTACTGAGGGGGGTGGCAGCTCTGAGGAGGGTAACCTTGTGGGTATCCCATGGGAGGGTAACCTTGGGGTTGGGGAGGGTAATATCCTTGTGTAGGATAACCTGGTGCATATCCCTGGCCCTGAGGAGGATATACTGGCGGTGGTGGAGGATATATTCCATTTGGGTAACCTTGTGGAGGATAACCTAATCAATATCACATGCAGAATCCAAAAAGATGGAACCCCAAATTCCATTAGATCAAATCCAAAGAAAATTATTGCAAATATGCCCAAGATCTAGAATCATAAACAAGAAGATAATGAATTTTGGAAAAAAAAAAAAAAAGATTCAAATTCTTACCTTGAGGGGGAGGGAGACCTACAGGAGGTTGTTGAATATTATTGTTCATGATCTATTTCTTTTTTTTTTTTTTATATATATATAAATA